ATCAGCCAACACTGGAATTTCAAGCTGAGTTGATCTGACCATTTCACGCGCAGCAGCTAATCGATCTGCTAATGTTTGATGTTCATTAACGGCTACGATATTTCCAATAGGCCAAACATTACTTGCATGTGCTTCTCGAATTTGAATCATGTAGAAATCTACATGTGATCTATATTTCTTATATATGTCATTAAGTACGTGAGATATAGATCTAAATAAAGGACAAGTATATGATCCGCTAAGAATAACAAGTGGTTTTCCCGGTCGAATAAGTGTATGCAAGGGAATTAAAGGAATTGTCGTCGCTTGTGATGATTCTAAGGAAACCAGTGAGCAATCGGGTGCACGCATCCCTTCGGTAAGATTACCAATGCGAGCGATGTTATTTCGAACATATACTTGAGTATTGCTGAATACAGGATCATCTAGATATTTTGTAATAATGTATTAAAATAAATGTATTAGAATAAATGCCTTTAAACACACACAAATATATATATATATATAATATCACCTTTATAAAGTTGTGAAGCATGCCGTAATAATTGCACTGCTTCATCAGAGTAGCCAAATTCTCTAACCAAATCATATTGCATCTGATCGGTAATATCAATCCAATCCCTGATATCTCTAGGATCACTTCCAGCATTATAATATTGTTGCTGAATTTTTTCAGATAAAATCCTTCGCTTTTCCTCCTCACGTAATAAAGTTAATAAATCTTTTTTTGTTGGGAGTATTGGAAAAATTGTTATTGTAGAAGTGGAATCTTTAGAAATGTCTTGTGATGTATCTTCATTATTCAAGGGATTTATGAATTGAAAATCATGTTGTCCGTCATGAAGCAAATTGGACATTATGATACAATCGTTACATAAATCATAATCTGGACATATTGAACATTTATATCTGTTAACAGGTTGAAAAGTTATAATTAGCGATATTATAAATACTCATATAATAGAATTTACAATTAAGTTTATTTATTAACCTTGCACCTTCCCATTCAAATCTGCCACAAAAATTACAGGAAATACCAGTGTTAATTTCATCTTGTAAACGTTCTTCAGGCGTTTGCATATATTTCGTAAGCGGTGGTAATACGTCAAAGTCACTGCGACCACTGGTCACATGAAACACTCCGGAACGACTTTTAACCACAAGATGTAAAGAATCTTCATTTTTGATATTATAATACTCTAAAGTATGTTCATCTTTTAATTCTTTACCAGCAAAGATAATACGTCCTTTATCAGCAGGAAAACCTTCTTTATCTTGAATTTTTAACTTAATTATATAGATGGTATCATTCTCTGTTACGTATAAATCTATAGTTTGACCTGTCTGCGTTTTAACAAAGATTAAAAAATTATTTTCCGAAAGATCTATTAAAGATCCTTCTAATATATTTTTGTCTGTTTGATTTTCATCAATATCATGTTTTACTTCTATTAAACCACCCTCCTAATGGTAAATTTTAATTAATTACTTAACTTTTCATTATTAAGTATATTTTTTTAATCTTTACCTTCGTGAACCTACCCTTACTCCAATATCTTCAAGCGTTTCCGAATTTAATATTTCTTTATTATGATATATTAGTTTATAAGATGATTCATTTCCAACATAATTTTTTAATGTTTCTACTAATAATTCTCCGGTAGTATGCGCAGTCACATTCGCTATGTAGATAGAACCGGGAATTATGTTAATACGGATAGGATAAACAGGGGGGCAAGCACGCTCCGATGTCAAGAGCATTATTATTATTATTATTATTATGTGATGTGATTAAGTCTCGGTAAAAAAAATTTCCTAAGTTCTTGTTATTTTTTTCATGAGAAAATTTTTTGATGAACGATTTTAGTAAACTGTTGCTTTTTTATAAAAACTCAAATGTCATTATTAAATTTTCTTACGTAAAATTTTCCTTATTAAGAAAGACACAGCGCCAGTAATCACTATGAAAGTCCGAAACTTAAATGAATTAATTAATTTGTAATGACGGTTATCATTACGTCATACGATCGGTTACACGTTGAATCATTTTTTAGGATTTTTATGGACGGAGTTTCGGAGATTCAGACAATTGTTGTATTGTTCACATTATACTGTTATATGCACAACATAAATTTTGAAAGCCTTAAAACAGGGTGATCGTTACGTATGCACCAAATAAAAAAATTTTAAGTTTTTCAATTCAAATTAATGATAATCATTGTATTTTCTTATCAAATATCGATAACGATAAGTATGTTATGTAATCAAATTTTAATTTTTTTTTTTTTCGATGTACGGTACATACGTACGTACGTAATTCAGATATCTCCTTGCTTCAAATAACAGCTTTTGGCGCAACTTAGGTACCTGCCATAGGTAAGGTTTCAAATTCTTCTAATGAGGCGTCAAGATTGTCACCTGAGATATTTATTTACAATATTAATTTTTTATGAATAATACGTAATTACATGCTGTAAATTTTAAGAGAAAACCTTTATAGCATGAATTATTTACATAGAAAGAGTAAAACAATGTATAATTAAAAGCATTTTAAAGAAATTTTAAGTGGAGATATATTATAAATTGGAAAAAAAAAACTATAGTGAAAATCAATTAGATTGAATTGACAAATAATATTAATGATACATATTTAGTTCATAATTAATATCATTCGATTATTGCATATACATCAACTGACAACCTCGTCATTTGAGGCGTACTCACGTACATCTCGTTATAACAAAAATGTTTAAACGCCTATTACTGTTACAAATAAATATCAACAAATTATTATTACGCAATAAACAATCATTTCAAATTGGCGATAAGGTTAGTTGTACAGAAAAAACATTGCAGAGCCAAGACCAGTAACTTGAAAAGGTTAACATTCTTGCTAACCGGATAAAATAATTTGAGGATATTAATATTAGAGATTTTTTTTTTTTTAGTGAATCTAAATTTTTTTTTTTTTAAACGAATTTGTATAACAAACATTTGAGTACCTGATCTGATGAATAATTTTTATGTATAATGACTAAATTTCTAGATAATTGGATATCATCTAAAATTCAAAAGAAAAATATCGACATATTTATATTACAGGTGAA